TTGTAGGAGATCCCTCCTCGTTTTGTACTGAAACTTACTCTCTATTTGGTTGAACTAAAAATAAGTATTCTTGTTGGGAAAAAAGCCCCTCTTGGTCTGCTTTGAAATGTAACACTAATTAATCCCTGGGTTGGGGCCCAAGATGATGTTCCCAGAACACTCAGGAAGCCTGTTGCAACGCCTACCTATCACAGGTCAATGTTACCAGGGGATAGGATGTATCTCACAATGTGTGGGTGACAGAAATGTAACCCTATCATTTGCCTATCTCCCCAGCCTATATGTCATGCATATATTTGCATATATATTTGCATGTATGTATACATTTGCATATTCCCCAGACTATATAAGTTATGATGTTTGCTTAATAGGGTGGAACTGCTTGACGGGAACCCCCTTCTCCCCCCCCACCCGCCGCCATGCTCGTGTGCTCATTTCTCAGTTGAGGAGGCAGCGGCATAGGGTATGCTCTTCTCCCCAGACCCTTCTCTTTATAGGGAGGGTACATCAGCCTGGTCCTCAGGGTCCTGAGTGGCGGCCTCTTGCTGGACAAGGGAGCGTGCTGAATAGAGGTCAGAAGGAGACCCCAATATATTCTCACAATGGCCTTTCTCTCTTAGCAAGTTTGTACATCTTTGAGGCAGAATGGCACTGTTAGAATGCAGGCTCTTGAGGCTGGTGCATTGAATTTGAATCCCAGCTCTTCCATTTGCCAAGCGTAAAAAGGAAGATAACACCTAGGTGAATTAAATTCCTAGGTGACTTAAATGAGTTAATACTTTGAAATTTTAAGATGAAATCATTTAGACTAGGCCTGAAATCAAAGTAACCAACACATAAAAGAATTTTCACTGTCCTTAATTTTACATATGATTTTAAAAAAAACAAAAAAATGAAACATTATATTCAGTGACTGTGAATTATTCCAAAAAGGATTTAGAGCTTGGTGTGAGCTCCATCTTGTGGTTCTACAGCAATTCTCCAGTATAAGTCACATAAAAAGATGACAGATTTTAAAGATAACTATTTAAACGATGACAAAACTATGCTATGTCTCAACTTGTAGTGTTTAGAAATAAATCAAGAAGGGATCACATCCCTACACAAACTTTGGAACAACAATCTAAATTTCCCCTCATGATGTGAAAGGAGAATTTTGCTGTTAGTGTAGTTCAGAAATGTAAGAGGAAGAGGACCAATTCATAGACTTGGGCAAGACAATATCCCTTTGGGGCTGGAGTGAAAGCACAGCGGGTAGGGTGTTTGCCTCGCACGCAGTCAACCCGGGTTCGATTCCCAGCATCCCATATGGTCCCAAGCACTGCCAGGAGTGATTCCTGAGTGCAAAGCCAGGAGTAACCCCTTGAGCATCGCCAGATGTGACCTGAAAAGCAAAAAAAAAAAAAAAAAAAAAAAAAAAATCCCTTTACTACTGATCTTTAGATGCCTTTATTGTGAAATACATGCTTTCCAAATTATTTTTTAACAATGGTATTACTACTATTTTGATTTTTTTTAAGTTTTAAGTTAAATTTTTACTGGACAAACTTGATGAGAGGACAAACTCGAGTAACCCAATAGAAAAGCCCTAGATGAAAACCTGAGTCTAATCCCATATGACTCATGTTAAAGGGTATCAGTCATAGGAAACATGAACATAATCCTGGCAATAGCTCTGAAAAAACATGACAAAGGTGTGAACATTTAAATGCCAAATATATAACATTGTTAATTTAGACAATTGTTGCTCGAGCGGGCCCAGTAACGTCTCCATTGGAGATTTTCTTGTTACTGTGTTTGGCATCTTAAATACATCATGGGTAGCTTGCCAGCTCTCTGCCATGCGGGCGAGATACTCTCGGTAGCTTGCTGGGCTCTCCGAGAGGGGCGGAGGAATTGAACTCGGGTCGGCCATGTTGGCTGTGTGCAAGGCAAACGCCCTACCGCTGTGCTATCGCTCCAGTCCAATAATTGTTAGTGGGGGACAAAAGGCATAAATAAATGAGGTGGTATATTTATGTTGATATTGTCAGCAGCTTAACACGATATTGTTATAGCTTTCTATTTCACAAGCAAGCACTGATATACTTCTCTCATTATCTGTCACAACTATACCAAAAGACAAAAAATAAAAAAAGGCCATGAGTAACATTTATTTTCCAACTCACAACTTTTATTAGCGTCTGAGAAAATATTCCAAGTATTTAAAAAGGATCCATTAACCACTAAATTGAGAAGTCTATTACAGAAATCTTTAGATCTTTTACAGGTATCAAATGTCATACTAAAGCCTCCAGGGAATGGCTTACACAGATAATTCTGTACCAGTGAACTGTGATTCTGTTCTAACAGATGGCACTGTAGAGGGGTGGGGGCTCCCAAGCAGTGCTCAGGAGGCCCAGGAGCCCCACTGCTGCCTGCAGTTTCTTAGGTCCTCCGCCCAATGGCCCACAGTTCAAAGTAAAGGCCTGAGGACGCAATGCTGCTCCTGATGTAAGCTGCCGGGGATTACTCTGCCATCCCAGGGCTACTGGTGGCCTTCAGGGTTGCACCCATGGAAGCTAAGGGATCATGAAGTGTCAGAATAGAACCCTGGCCAGGTGCATGCTATTTGAGGCACTGTACTATCTTGCAGCATCCTAATGGCACTTCAATTCAGTTTTCCTCAATGTTCAGAGAATCTTCTGCATAGAAATGTCTCAAATCAAGACAGGAGAAATCCTGAGTTGATCCTTGAGTCTCCAGCACTGGGAAAAGGTCCTGCCCGCATGAGAAGCATACACAATAAATACTGCTTATTTGAGTGAACATACGATGATAGTCAATATGATTACAGCAACATTCCAGAAGAAATACTAAAAAGTAAATAGTTACAATTAATAAAATGTAGGCCAAAGAGAGTACAGTGGGTAGGGCACTTGCCTTGCATGTGGCTAGTCTAGGCTTGATCTCTGGCATCCCATATGGTTCCCCAAAGAACTGCTGGGATTAATTTCTGAGTTCAGACCCATGAGTAACCCCTGAGCATCACCAGGTGCAGGCCCAAAACAAAAAGCCAACAAATTAACAAACAAAAAAATTAGTAAACTATACTAAGGGCTGGAGCGATAGCACAGCGGGTAGGGCGTTCGCCTTACAAGCAGCCAACATGGCCGACCCGAGTTCGATTCCTCCGCCCCTCTCGGAGAGCCCGGCAAGCTACCGAGAGTATTCCATATGCCAGACACAGTAACAACAAAGTCTCCAATGGAGACGTTACTGGGCCCGCTCGAGCAAATCGATGATCAACGGGAGGGCCTTTACCTTTACCTATACTAAGGCAAACTTAACAAAAAAACTTTTTTATTATAGTAAGATTTCCAATAGAAATTTGAAACATTCTATGACTCAAGTACTGGTTTCTAAGAGTTGAAGTTAGTTAAATGGGTTTATTTCAGAACTCTCTAAAAACATACAAAGCTAATATTTTTTGTGAGTTTTATGTTAGTAGCATTTCCCCAAATTACATGATCATAAAACTATTTTGCCACCAGGTGTCTAGGAAACTTAAGTCTAAGGAACATATATTGCTATTGATATTTTGCGATATAAATAAGATACATTTCTGGAAACCATATTAGCCAACATAATATATAACCGAACACAACAAAATGAACATAAAGTAATCCCTCAAAATAAAGCAAATGGATTTGTACATGTTAATGTAATACTACAAATCTACAATAAAAAAAATATACATTAAATATAGGATAACACTGTTTTGTCCTTCCTGCATAGCCTCAGGTATTGGACTGCTCCTATCACAGTGCTCCTGTTCCTCTGTGTTTATTTGTAACTTCTTTCATTGTGCTCTGTTGACTGTAAATACTGTTTTTCTTTTCTCCCTAAATCCTTTGCATAGTTAATTCAGAGCAATGTCCTTTTGTATGGACACAAGAGGACATGCTTTTGTAATGTGACTCTCAGTAATATTTTCCTCCTGGGCATCTGTTCTCTGACCTAAGCCTCAGTTGCCTTTACTTCCTACGGCCCCCAAAAGCAGGGTCCCAATGAGGGACTGGATGGACCCAGGGCAAGCAGTAAGCTATGTGCTACCCTGGGATCAAGATGGGCCTGGCCAAAGCGCCATAATGCTTAACATAAGTTAAGAGCTTGGTCAAGGACAAATGCTGTCATGATCCAAAAATAATAGTAGATTTGAACCCTGCTAGGGTTAGGAATGATTAATCTGGCTTGAGAGCTGTAGTCTGAGTCTGTGGTAAGATGTTCCCAGGAGAGCTGCCCTACAAGCCTCAATGTTCTCTCTTACTATGTCCATACAAAATAGCTAGCATTGATATATTGATAGTTATTGGACTGAGGAAAAGAGAAAAACACCTTAAGGGGTATTTTGCCCTTGGGCAGTCAGGAAGGCCTTTGGAATATCCTAGGTGGTGTTCCCTTTGAACCTGGTGGGGCCTCAGGAAGGGCTTTCTTATGTTGACCTGGCTACCTGACTTGGGGTAGTATCAGCCTGGAGAGATGATGGAGTTGGAGAGGAAAGAGAGCAGGGGAGAGAAGAGAGAGCAGGGCCGCAAGATGGACCTCAGAGAGGCTAGCAAGGGGGACAGAGAGAGAATGTAGAAGAATACAGGAGCAGGCAAGCGGAGAGAGAGCTCAAGATGCGAGATGCGGCATGGAGTGCAGAGTGATGAGCGGGAGAGACAGAAGGAGGTGGGAATGAGGAGCAGTGTGAGACCAGAATAGGAGGCTCAGAGAGACTGGGGCAGATAAGTGGGGAGAATGGAATAAATGGCAACTGATCAATCAACCGACTTGACCCTTGCTTCCTCCGGGCTTCCTCCCCAGCCGTCTGCCCCAGGGCCCAGGCCGCCCCCCCCCCCCCAAAAAAAAAAACCCTGGGTGGCCAGGGGAAGAGCCGTTGGGGCCATCCCCTGGCCGTCCTCAAAGATTTTTTACAATTAAAGAATCGGTCTTTTTTGTTACTGGAAACCTTAAAAGTTTATTAAAGAAAAGCTCTTCAAATACCACACATAAAACGTCTTTTATTTTTAATTAGAGGACATCAAAGCTCCAAAATATTACTACTTACAAGATCCAGAGTAGGGGAGGGGGACATACTTGACAGTGCTGGATAGTAAGGGGACCATCATACATGATGCTAGGATTCAAACCAGGGTCACAGCTACAGACTTAAAATTTTGTGCCACACTGTGCTCAGGGATCACTCCTGGCAGGTTTGGGGAACTATATGGGGTACCAGGGATTGAACACAGGTCAGCTGAGTGCAAGGCAAGCACCCTACTCTCTGTACTTTCTGATCCAGAAAAGATTTTTATATTTTAAAATTAAGTTTCAAAATTTTAGTTCGCTCAAGTCTGTCAGTGTGACATGTTTTATCTGTACTAAGAACAAAAAAGTCACACTAATACAGGATAGAATTTTGCTGACTTGTATATTGGACCGTATCCAGTTACAATATCAATATAGACTTCATTCACCAAAGGAAACCTTTTATTCAAGTTTCAAAAAAAGTGAGAAATTATGAACTGAAGAAAAAGGTCAAGTTAAAACCAGAGTTTTCATTTGGTAGAAGCTGAAATCAGTGTACACATCTATCAAAGAACTGTCCTATATGGTATTTCTCAGTATTTTAAGAGGCTACCAGGCCAAACCCTTAGCTGCTTTTGCTCTGCTTTTGCCTTTCTTTTTCTCTCGCTTTGCCTTCAGTCTTTTCCTCTGCCGCGGGTTCATCCAGATAGGGTACTGTCCATGCTGATCTAGAAGACTCTTCTTGTTTCTCTTAATGTCAGTCTCCATTTTCATGTCATCTGAATTAAAAATGGAAAAGCTATTAATCATCATGCATTAAAAAAAAAATCACCCTGTGAAAAGGTACATTAATACACTGAGAAGAGAGTAATCTGAAGGTATGGCAGAAAAAAAAAATCCCTTATTTTCTGAATGTTTATCAACAAGGGTCTGGAAACTCCATACAATCTACTCAATGTAATCTCACATGCTGCTGTGTATTCCTACAACCATGAAAATAGTGGAGAGATGCTCTATTGGTGGTGAGTTTGGAGACGTGAGTCTGGAGACAGAACATCGAATACTGAAATGCTGTTCACTCTTAAAAGCCTGTATATCACAGGGCCTAAATAGAAAACAAACATGAAAACAGGAAGAACGAGGAAGAAAAAAAAAATCAAGATATCATCTATTTCCTAGCTTTTTAAATTGTGAGTCACAATACCACATACAGCTGTATTAACAGAATGTGGGTCAGAAAAAACCATACACCTCTAAAGATAAATTTCTTTATGATTTATTATCAGTAAATGTTTGATTTCTCTGCCTATTTTATATACCTGTATACTGGGATCGCAAAAAATTTTTCTTGGGAGAAAAAGGGTCATGAGTGAGAAAAATCAGCCCTGAACTATTTAGTCACAGCTGCTCTTTGGAACAGACCTTCAAAAAAGAAACATCTAGGGGATAGAGTGATAGCACAATGGGTAGGGTGTTTGCCTTGCATGCGGCTGACCCGGGTTTAATTCCCAGCATCCCATATGGTCGGTCCCCTGAGCACCGCCAGAACTAATTCCTGAGTGCAGAGCCAGGAGTAATTCCTCTGCATCGCTGGGTGTGACCGCCCACCCCCCCCCCCCCCCAAAAATGAAATATCTAGTGTGTACAGCTTTGGTACTTCATTACAGAATGGGCATGATTCTGAGCACATGTGAGTTAAACGACTATTTTTCATAATAAGAGTGTTCTAAATACAAAAGGGTAGAGATGGTACAGCAGATGAAGCACTTATCTTGCATGCAGCCAACCAGGGTTCAATTCTGGGCACCATATACAGTCCCTTGAGCAATGCAAGGTATGGCCCCAAAACAATAAAAAAAAAGAGTTTTCTAGAATTAAATAAGGGAGTGGAGTCAGTGAGCTGTGTGTTCTCTCTCTCTCTCTCTGCCCCCCCCCCCCACCCACTACTGGACAGGATCTAAGAAGTAAACTTTTAAGAACAATTGAGACAGGTAACACAGTAAGCAGACCATAAACAAAGACCTGAATATATCCTGGTGCTGCCTCTTTCTCACACAGAAAATGGCCTTACTAACAAGAGACGGATCCAGAAGTGCAGTGAGACCATGTTAGGACATGAGGCCATGTCAGAATACCCCTCCACTGTCATTTTACCAGGATATAAACCTTGCATTATCTCTAATAGCTGACGTTATAATTCATTCTGTCTCCTGTCTGATACATCGTATATCCCAGTAGGATGGAGGTCATTTCTCTGATAGTCACCACTTCTAAAGTAGTTGCAATAGTGCCTGGCTTATTTTAGCCATTCAATAACTAGCTGAATTATCATTTTCAGGTGCTCTCTGAACTGAGAGAGCACTGCAAATATGTTACATACCCACATCATGTTACAACATACTGCTGGAGAAAATAAAACAAATGTCAGTCTATAGCAAATGGTGTCTTTAAAAAGTGCAAGGACTAGATTAAAATGAATCTGGTACACTGGTAAACTCATAAAAAAAAAAGAGGTGTTTTAAGCACAAGAATGGCATAATCTGAATTATCATCTCGTAAGGCACATTGGTTAACATAACAAAAATTAATCTGGCAAGACCTGGAAGAACAAAATGGCCAGTACAGTGGTTTTAAGCAAGAGATTTAAGACAAAATAAACATAAAACAGTTTCTTCATATATTTTGGAGATACTCAAGAAGATATGCTAACAGTATAAAAATGGCCTAAAGGTGCCTAAAGGGGCTTGACGCAATAGTACAGTTGGTAGGGTGTTTGCCTTGCACGATTCCCAGCATCCCATATGGTCCCCTGAGCATCTCCAGGAGTAATTCCTGAGTGCAAAGCCAGGAGTAACCCTCCAGTCATTGCCAGGTGTAACTCAAAAAGAAAAGAAAAGGAAAAAAAAGGCCTAAGAAATTGGATGGAGAAGGATTCCAGAGATGGCCCTAGTGGCCCCCAGCATCTAAGCACCGTTGGGGGGTGGTCCCATATATATTTTTAAAAACTGTGTGGATGGCTTTAAGAACAGAAGAAGCACAAACTTAATGGCAGAGATGAGAAATCAATATTCAAAGTAGGTAGATTATTAAATGGAGATTTTCACATTTTGCTCTAGAAACACTAAACAATGAGGGTCGACACTACCCCCAGCAGGAGACGAGAGGATTCCTCTCTGAGAACAATAAAAGACCTATAAGTTCTGATATAGGAAATCTCCCACGACTACATTTCTTAGGGTCGATCCAATATCCTGTAAGACAACAGATAAAAAGTCCTCCCTCCCCGCAAAGGTTCATCACTTTCGTGCCTACCTTAAATATAAGGAGCAATACCAGGCATTAGGAAAAGGAATATAAAAGAAATGGTAGGAGGGAAAAAACCCAAGAGACAACCCAGAAAACAATACACAGGGCACATAAAATGAACGGTAATTAATACACTAAGAGGGATCAGAGACAACATATGCCAATTAAGAACATTGGGATATTAAAAAAGGGAAAAGGTAAAGAGAAGAAAAACTTCTGTACGTTAAAAATACAACAGCAGGACAAGGACTCAATCTAAGATGTCACATGAAAATGTTGAGAAATAAAAAAGAATAATAATAACAGAAAACAGTAGAGGATAAATCCCAAAATAAATCTCAAGAATGAATGGAGTCTAGTACAGAGAATAAAGACTCTTAATCCAATAAAAAACAAGTACAGGATTTTTAGATACATCTTTCTCTGATGAAATACAAATGGTCAACAAGCCATATGACAAATGAGCGACATCGCCAGTCACTGAGGAAACACAAATGAAAATCATAGTGAAATGTGAAATTTGCAAACCATCATGCAAAAATAAAATTGTTGGTGTGAAAGTAAATGGTGTAATGGAATAATCATTCATAAGTATATATCCAGAGCTGAAAACATGTCTTCAAACAATAATTCATACATAAATGTCTGCAGTAGCACCGCTTATAAAAGCTGGCAAATGGAAGCAACCTTGATACCCAGCAACCAGTGAAAGTATGATCAAAATGTGGTTTAGAGTTTTAAAAAGTATTGACAGATGTTACAATTGTGTGAGCCTGAGAGGCTGGTGCGAGAGTACAGTGGGGAAGGTGCTTGCCTCAACTCAGGTTCCATCCCCAGCACCCGATATAGTTCCAAGTTCACCAGGTGTCAGGAGTAAGTCCTGAGCACCCCAAAAAACACTGTAGCACTGCACTGTCCTCCTGTTGTTCGCCGACTTGCTCGAGCGGGCCCAGTAACGTCTCCATTGTGAGACTTGTTGTTACCATGTTTGGCATATTGAATACATCACAGGTAGCTTGCCAGGCTTTGCCGTGTGGGCAAAATACTCTCAGTAACTTGCCAGGCTCTCCGAGAGGGGCAGAATAATTGAACCCGGTCCAGCCGGTGCCTTGCATGGCAAACGCCCTACCACTGTGCTATCGCTCCAGCCACCCCCCCAAAACAAAAACACAATAATTTAAATGTAAGAAATCAGATACAAATGGTGACATCCAGTATGATTCTTGGATTGGAGCCACATCCTGTGGTGCTTAGGGGTCACTTCTATGCTAAGGGGCACACGCAGTGTCAGGCATTGTACCCAGGTTTCTTGAATACAAACAAACCATGCGTTCAACCTACTGAACTGTCTTTTGAGGCCCTCATTTCATTTTATGATCTAGAATAAATTCAGAGAAAGCATAACTGTGGTTATCAAAGGCTGTGAGAAGGCAAGAAAAGAAACTAAGAAGCACAGAGTTTCCTTTTAGGATGAAAAAATGTTTGGAAATATAGGTGATTATTGGCTATCATGAATGTAATAAAGGCTATACTTCGTCAGAAAGATGAAATAAAAAAGCAGACTGAGAGAAATCAAGGGAGAGGTTTTTGTTAGTGGAACAGAACATACAAGAACACATTTATTATGGTTTGAATGATCCAGTAGCAAAGATACATTGCTAAGTAGAAAGACCCTTAAAAAAGTGGACAGAATTCAGCAGCCTGGAAGACAGCGCAGTGGCTGATGCACACACTTTGCATATATAGTCCTGGGCTCCATTTCTGTACCACAGAATCCTCTAGGCATCACTGGGTGTGGTCCAAAAACCAAACAATATAAAAGAATGGCCAAGAATCAGAACAAAAGCAAGAGATTGACCTTTGAAAGAACATTAGTAACAGTGAAACACTAGTCATTCAAACTCTGATAGATCTGGCTAGTGTGATTATGAGGATGATGCCTCTAATTTTTGTGAAGCTAAAATGAAGAGCTAATTGAAATTTTTATTCGTAAAGACTGGGAAAATAGCTAACTGGAAGTAAAAAAAGATCAAAAGAAATGATCATTTTGGTTGGGGATGCAACTAAACAATGGGAAACAACTGTCACTGTCACTGTCCCCCCATTGTTCATCGATTTGCTCGAGCAGGCCCAGTAATGTCTCCATTGTGAGACTTGTTACTATGTTTGGCATAACGAATATATCATGGGTAGCTTACCAGGCTTTGCCGTCAGGGCGAGATATTCTCGGCAGCTTGCTGGCCTCTCCGAGAGGGGCAGAGGAATTGAACCCGGGTTGGTCGGGTTGGCCGCGTGCAAGACAAACGCCCTACTGCTGTGCTATTACTCCAGCATGCCCCATTTTTAAAATAGAAAAGAAAAATTCTAGGCCTGAAGGTTGAGGAATGGTGGTCTCTTCCTTGATTGCGTATCTCAAAAATAAACTTTTAAGGGCTGGAGCAATAGCACAGCGGGTAGGGCACCTGCCTCCTTGTAAGCGGCTGACCCAGGTTTGATTCCCAGCATCCCATATGGTCCCCTGAGCACTGCCAGGGGTAATTCCTGAGTGCACGAGTCAGTCCAGTGCATCACACCTGTCCATTGCCGGGTGTGACCCAAAAAGCAATAGATAAATAAATAAATAAACCTTTAAAAGCCTGGGTTTTTTGAGTGCTACATTTTGCTACCATAGTGGTATATTCAGATGTAAAGATTTATTGCCTTTTCCCCTTCTGAAATATAAACAAAACCTCCAACTTTAGATGATTAAGACAGAAGTACCTAGAGACCTCAAAATAAGCTAAAACAAAAACCAGATCTTTCTTGACCTAAAATAGATTTATACTCCAATATAACTCATCACAAACTATGATGTATGTTGAAAATGCAACCTACCAACCATCACAGGTTATCCTAGCCTTACTGTAAACGTGCAAAACACGTGCACCAAAGCCTTTTTATTTTACTACCTAGGCATATGTGATTGCACCAGAGTTTAAATTTCTGATTGCTGGGCAAGCACTTTATGCAACAAAGCCACAAAGCCCATTTTATAAGTGCTGGATATTTCAAGTAACATACTGAACACAATATTGACAGTAAAACACAGAATAGTTGTTCCAGTTGTACATTAATACACACAGCTGAGCACAAAATGGGACGTAAAAAGGGAAGAGTATCACAGAAGAAAGTCAACGTACCTTTTTAAAAATAAGGTACATAAACTCACCTTTTTCATCCTTTACTGCACATTCAATCTTCTGGCAACTTTGGGGTTCCACCACAGTTGCTATCTCTTGAACATCTTTCATTATAACATCAGTGTCTATTTTAAGAATACTTTTAAGTCTGCTGAGTTCCTTTGGGGCATTCTTTTTTCTTTTTTCAGCCCGCATTTTCCTTTTCCACTTACTCCGCAAGCTCTTGGCCATATTTGATCTAAAAGGTTCAAAGCATATGTTCAAAAACAAATATTTACTATTGAAAAAAAGGCAAGTCCTTGGAAAATCAAGTAAAAAGACATCCTGTACAATAGCACGTAGAAAGTAAAACTTTCACTGCTCGTGATTTACAACGGCATGTGTGACTTATGTTGAGGTTCATTATGCTACAGTCTCCAACATGGCATACACATTAAAACTCCTTCCCCTATCAACAACAATACAGTACCAAATTAAATGCCACACATCAATGGCAAATTATGAGTCAAGCCAATTCTCAGGTCCTGGAGTTCCTATACAAGGTGAAGTCATTTTAATGCCCCATTCCAAAGCAAACCATTATCACCTTACAGTTATTACCATATATTACATTAGAATGTTTTTTATAAATGCCTTTTAACTCTCTGAATTTCTACCAAATGCACAGGGACCCTCACCCTTACTTTCATTATATACCCCTTCAAGTTAATCTATTCTCACTTCCTCTTCATCCTTTAGCCCAGCTCTAAATCCTCCCAAAGACTGTTAGCATGAGCTTTCAAAAGCTTAAGATCCTTTCATGGGACTTTTTAATGACTTCCATATGTACATTTTAAATCCAGAAGGTTATTTGTAACCTGGATCCTCCCACCTTAAAGTTCAATTTCATCTCATGCTCCACCCATGCCAACAACCAAGTACATGTAGAAAAGGGTAAAGAATAGGCTTTAAGAACCTGGTACAAGGCTGCAGAGTTCAGTGGATAGGGAACTTGCCTTCCACTCAGCCAATCCAGGTTTCATTCCTGGCATCCCACATGGTCTCCCAAGCACTGCCAGGAGTAATTCCTGAATAGAGAGCCAGGAAACCCCTGAACATTGCCAGGTGTGCCCACTTGCACCCCCAAAGGGTTGTGACAGGAGTCCTAGGCTTTGATCCTTGTACCGCATGGTTCCCCAACAATGAGGAACAGTGGAGGAATATAGCTTTTAGGTTGTTTACTGGGAGCTGGAGTGTGGCCAGCAGTATTGAGGGGTCACTTTAGGCAGTGCTGGGGGTAGGTAATACCTGGTGACAGAGCAGCACATGCAAAGATAGGCGCCTTCACGATGTAACCCCTGCACTATCTCTATAGGACCCAGCTTAAAAATGGAAGGAAGCTTTAGGGACTGCTTTACAGTCTTGATTTGGAGGACGAGGTTTGTATAAATTTATCAATACTTCTCTTATACAAATTTTAAACCTGAAGCTGTTAAGTAAATCTCTGACATGATTTTGAGAGGGGAGAAGTCCACTGGTTCACCATAGTACTTTTCCTTCCATTTGCTGTTCCGATATCAGGGATCTAATTTTCTAAAAGCTTGCTCTTTCCCTTCCATACCTCAGAGTTCCTCTGACCCAGGAGGCTCTTCTTTTTCTTTCTACAGCATATTTTCTTTTTGCTGTTTTTCACATGGTGGGGGGCCGGGGATGGACATGTGCTTCGGTAATACTTCCTTGCTCTGAGATCAGTAATTAATCCTGATTGCATTCTGGGGAATCACATGAGGTGCCAGAGATTAAACCTAGGTACGCTGCATGCAAGGCAAGTGCCTTTCCCGCTATACTATCACTCTCGTCCCAACAGGCACAATTTTAAAGAAATGCTTCATATACTTCATATAACGATGAAACATTTTTTGCCCCCCCCCAAAACGGGCATCTCGAGGGGTTGAGAGGTGCAGAAACTGCACATTAATGCCATATACCTGGCACTAATGTAACCGCTTAAGTGAAAGCATAATATCTTTAGTGGGAATAATATCTCCAAGGAAGCACGGCCAGGTGTGCCCCAAAACAAAACGAATCACAAATAAAAAGTGGTTTGGGCCAGTGTGATAGTACAGCGGGTGGGCGCTGGCACTGCACGCGGTCCGGGTTCGATTTCTTGGCCTCATTCCTTAATGTAGAATGAGGAATAAGCCCAAGGCATCACCAGGTGTGAGGCCCCCTCAAAATCCAGTAATTAAAATCTGCAAGGACTATGCGTGAAGCACGTCATTTTCTACGCCCACAACGGATTGTGGGCTACCACACAAGGCACGCCGTCTCATAAATCGCTTTCACAAACAACTCTATAGGTCGGACAGCCCAACGCATGAGACAGTTTGCAGATAACAAAGGTTAAGTCTACGTTGATGAATGGATGACCAGCGAAGTGATGTTTGGGGCACGCCATCATCTCAAATCCCCGTGCCCTTGTCGACAAGCCCAAGTTCTTCGAGAGGAAGAGCGGAGGGCTCGTGGTCAGCAGCCCTGAGCTGCACGGTTAACCTTGGCTGGACTGAACCAGACAGGATTCCATTCTCACGCCGCCTGGGAAGCCTATGGACCACCACCAAAACCAAGGGGGACCCTGGCCTAGAAAATATCCTGATGCCTGACCACAGCAAAACCTACCCACGGAGGAACGAGGGGGGGGTCCCCACGGGCGGTGGGACAAAGTCCAAATGCCCTCGTACCACTAGCCCAGGGAGGTCAAGAACTTACCGAAGAGAAACTCACAAACTCCGCCGCACGCCGCTCACGCCACCGGAAGTCCCTGCGCTTCCGCCTTCCGGCGGCGTGTCGCGCGCGCTGCACGCCGGGGCAGAAGTACCCCGGAAGGCCGCGAGGGGGCGGGTCTGCAGGAGCTCCGAGCTGACGCACGTCCTGCCACTGCAGCGACTGCACAGCGTGCAGCTGCGTTTCACCTGGGGCCCTGATTCAGGTGTGGAGCACACGCTGGAGCATACGGGCGAGAGTAGGGAGCAGCGTGGCCGGCTTCGCGCGCTTGGGCATGGTAGTCCCGACATCCCAACCGAGGCGTGAACCTGGCCAGGGACGCTGCCAGGGAAGGGCCGGAGCCGGCCTTCAGGTCAGCGTTCTTGGCAACGGCCCTGAACTGCCTCAGGTCCACTGCAGATCTCATGTGGTCCCAGCAGCCGAATAGCCCAAGTGTTCCCGTCCTGGGTGACAGCCTCATGAGTATATATGTCATAAACTACCGCGTTTGGGGGATGTTAGGAGGAAGGAGTGTGGGGGTTCTTAAAATGGATGGGGGTGGGGGCACATAGTGCCTCTTTAGAGTCAATAAAAAGTTCCAGATACTGTTGTCTTTTTTTCCTCTAGCTAAACTTTTTTTTAAATTGAATCGCTGTGAGCTATGGTTATAAAGCGTTCATGATTGCGTTTCAGTCATACAGTGATCAAACATCCCTCCCTCCACCAGTGTACATTTTCTGCTACCAATGTCCCCAGTATCCCTCCCCCCCATTCCACCCCCTCCCTCTGCCTCTATGGCAGATAATTTCCCTCTTACTCTGTACTTATGGGCATTGTGGTTTGCAATACAGGTACTGAGAGGTCATCATGTTTAGTCCTTTATCTACTTTGAGAGCACACATCGTCCATCCCAAGCAATCCCTCCAACCATCATTGTACACAGCCAACCCAGTTAAAAGCAAATATGACTTTCCTAACAGCTGCATAGTATTCCATTGTATAGATGCACCAAAGTTTCTTTAACCAGTCATCTGTTTTCAGGCACTTGGGTTGTTTCCAGTTTCTGGCTATTGTGAACAGTGCTGCAATGAACATACAGGTGCAAATGTCATTTCTGCTTTTTTGCACCCTCGAGATATAATCCCAGAAGTGGTATTGCTGGGTCATATGGAAGCTCATTTTCTAATTTTTTAAAGGAATGCCCATATTGTTTTCCAAAACGGCTAGACCAGTCGGCATTCCCATTAACAAGGAAAAACAATCCCTTTCTCCCCACATCCACGCCAGCTCTGGTTGTTCTTGTTCTTTTTGATGTGTGCTTCTGGCTATACTCTGTATCTTACATGAACTGTTAATCATCACTCTACCAAGTCTTGTAATTCTACCACTCTACCAAGTCTTTTTAATTCTACCTTATTTCTAATTTCTAGAATCTATATATTTTCACCTTTTCTTTTATCTGTACATGTCCTTCTATCCAGCAAGTCAACTTCTTTATGACAACCCTACCAAATATAAAAATATCTTTATTTTACCACTTAATCATGAAAGATTGTCCTTTTTTGTTTCAAACAGTGGGGTACAACTATTATATGAAGGGGTGTGTGTGTGTGTGTGTATGTGGACACCCAATGTTAAAAATAATTTATTAATAAACTGCCTTTGATGTGGATGAAGGTTATAAAGTAATTTTTGGACTGCAAAAGCAAGATATGATGATTAGGCATGTACATAACCATACAATGAGGGAATTTGTCAAACATTCATAGGCCACTAGTACACTACTATAATTTGAAAATAAAATTTTAACTTAATAAAAGTTATGTGAAGGAACTAGAGCAATATTCCTGCAGGTAGAGCGTTCGCCTTGCTTGTGGCCATCCCATGTTCGATCCCATATAGTCCCAAGAGCCCACCAGGATTCACCCCAGAGCCCCACTGGGTATGCCCAGTCGGCAGCACATATACTAAAAAAATTTAACCTTAAACATATCTTTAATTTTTAATATAGCCTTATATCTATGTAATATTGCAGTACTGAAGTTTGGTAAGAATTTATTTTCTATTTCTCAAGATGAAAATCTAGTAAACAGGAAACCTATACTTTATAATAGTAAGCACCCAGAACTTAAACAGCTACGGAGGCTAGGGATGCGAATCCAAGGCCTGGAGTGCATGCTTTGCATCGAGGAGCCCTGGATTCAGTTTACAGTTCCTGACAGGCCAACTTGAGATAAAACTACTGAAGATAAACGGATACGCTTAATATAATCTCATGAAACCTTTTGCTAGGGGGTCACCTCTCACGTAGTGCTGGAGGCTGAGAACCACTCAGGCCAGGTGTTCAACGGCAGGTCCTGAGGGTACAGCAGTGCTGCTCAAGCCGAGAGGCTGGGGATCACTCTGACCACACCCAGCAGTGCTCAGAGGCCTCCCCAGCTGTTATCCCCAGCCCTGAAGCTATTTTTTAAAACAGTCATCCACTGTTTGGTCATCCCTGGCAGGGAAGGGGCGCCTGGGCCTAAGGGGGCACAGGGCTCCACCACTTGAGCTGTCCTCAGGTCCCAGGAGATTATTTTTAAATTGCAAGCGAAAATAAACATGGCAAACTTATGACTAAAAAGTAATTTTGACACCTTTTAATTGATAGTAAAACAGGAAAGGCTATAATCTATATATTTAATCAATTTAGTACAGTGTTATACAGTAGTAAATATATTATACAGGTACAGGGGATGCTGGGAATGGAATCCAGACTCACAAATGAGGCGTGTGCTTAAAAACTGAGTTAATCTCTACTATTTTCATTGAGCTTTACTATTTTTATTATACTACACTCTACTGTTTCTTAAAAATTGTAATCTCTACTATTTTTATTACACTACAATTCACTAAAATGCTACAGTAATAACATTATTATAGCCCAGAAGAATATGACATAACAAAATCAGTCAACAGTTATTAGCTTTGAAATTTAATGAAAATTTATTTTTAAATGTTATTATACTTCTTTCAATCATTTCTTATTAAATGCTTCCAAAACTCGCAACAGATGCAAGAACAGATTGATGATATCCAAGTAGAGGTTGATGGAAGCTAACACATACTCTTCAGGCGAGAGCCTGTGCATCAGTGAGTGTGTGTCATAGATGATGAATCCACAGAAAAGAAGAGATCCGAGAGCAGCCACAACCAACTCCACTGTCTCATTATTAAAAAATATCTAGACAAGAAATCAAAGTGATAGGTACTCAGAATATTTAAGTTAAGAATACTCAGAATATTTGTTACATATGCTGCCTATGTATTTAGTAATGTGTAATAGTTTGTATACCAATGTGAAAAGGCAAGTCAGGTCCACACTTCTGTTGGACAAATGAAAGAGTGACTGAATCAAATCACCCACTTGACTCTGAACAGTAGCATTTAAATATATAAAATACTTAAAACATGTATCTCATGTTTATGTTTTCTTACAGTTACACCAATCAAGGCCTCACACATGCACGGTAATACCAGAACCTCACACATGCAAGGTATGTGCTCTAGCACTAAACTACATTCCAACCCCTAAAAAAATCTTTTCAGAGTTACATACACTACTTGACATGTTTGTGAGAGTCTCTTTCTATGTATCACTGTCATCCTGTTGTTCATCGATTTGCTCGAGCAGGTGCCAGTAACGTCTCCATTTGTCCCAGCCCTGAGATTTTAGCAGCCTCTCCTTGCTCATCCTTCCCAATAGTGCTGTGTTGGAGGCTCTTCCAGGGTCAGGGGAATGAGACCCATTATTGTTACTGTTTTTGGCATATCGAATATACCACGGGGAGCTTGCCAGGCTCTGGTGTGCATTTCATATATATGTTTGCTCTGTCTTTTTTTTAATTCATTTCTTCTCCCAATTTTTTGACATGGGTTTTATTAAGTTTTTACAAGTGTTTTATGTATCTTGGATATTTGCTCCTTCTCAGATGGGTAGGTGGTAGGTAAATATGCTCTCCTCCTAAGAGACTGGCCCCAAATATCATAAAATTTTTTTTTAATTCCTCAGGTAATAAACAGAATTGCAGTGGACTATCATCAGTTTATGTCCCATAATAGGAATTCCTCTTATAGCATTTTCATATGTTGTCATGGTCAAAATACATTTTGTTACCATTCTAAAACAACTTACCATCCTCAAGATTGCTGACAAACACAAAATCCATAAAGCAGCAAACAGTCTATGAAAACAAAATATTCAAGATTTAGAAATAAGCTTCCTTACCAAAAAAACACTGTAAATCCATTGAATATTTTCTGAAAAAAACATAATTCATCCTATTATATACCAAAGAATAATTAAAATAAAAACAATGATTTGTGAACTGTGTTCTTCAACCTTTAGTGGAATACCACTAGAAATGGAAAAAATAGCTACGACATATTTTAAAGTTTTTGGTTAAAACACAAAATACGTAAATGATAATTTCCTAAGAAGTGTTTTAATTCAGATAGCTATATGAATAATAAAATGTAATTGTATTTTTTACCCAAAGAACAGTAGCAAATTATGACAGCCATATAAATCCATAAAAAAGTTCCAGATACTATTTTTGGTTTGGGAGGGCCATACCTAGCTGTACTCAGGACCTACTCCTAATCATGCTGGGGGGTTGAACTGGAGTTGGAAAGACAAGTTCCTTACCTCTGTGCTATCTCTCTGGCCCAACATAATATATGTGTGTGTGTGTGTGTGTGTGTGTGTGTGTATATATATATATATATATATATATATATACACAAAATGCCAGGGGCCAAACCCAGGGCCCCAGCCTTTTGTACTATCTTTAGGGCCTAGATATTCACACAAACATCTCAAGCACCTGAATCTTATTTTTCTTACTGGCTGGAGCTATAGCACAGCAGTAGGGCATTTGCCTTGCAAGCGGCCAGCCTGGCCAAGCCGGGTTCGATTCCTCCGCAATTCCTCCGCCCCTCTCGGAGAGCCCGGCAAGCTACAGAGAGTATTTTGCCCGCAAGGCAAAGCCTGGAAAGCTACCCGTGAAGTATTCAATATGCCAAACACAGTAACAACGAGTCTCACAATGGAGACATTACAGGGCCTGCTCGAGCAAATCGATGAACAATGGGAGGACAGTGCTACAGTGCTACAGTGCCCTTACCAGAGAAATGTGGATAGCCTTTTTTTAACAGCTCAAAGACCTGAATCACTGAGGTAAATTCCATCCTATTCTTAAAACATACAAGCCTAGCCTCTCTAAAAAAGCTGTCTATGTGTTTGGGGATTCAAGAGAGCAGGGCTCAGTTCTTGGAGGGGGTTGGGATGTCACTCCTGGTGTTGCTTAGTGGCAGGGATGGAATCTCAGCCTCTTGCATATGAAGTGCTCCAGTTAGCTGAGCTTTCTCCAACCCTCATTTATATTTGATAGGGGAAACAAATAACCCAAGTCACTTCCCATCTCCCTGTATGTTTTGTTTTTCCATCCTTGTTATGTTTTGACCCCAGCAATCAGAGCACTTTCTTTATCTTCCACTCTTAAAAGGCAATGTCCAAAACTATCTAGCACTTCTCTCAAAATGCAATGCTACTACAATATTTAAGAGTAATGAATATATAACTTACCCTGCTCCAAATTTACTGAAATCTCTCTTAGACTGTAGAGTGTATGCAGTCAGACCAAGAAATACTGCAGTAGTCAGTATAAAAGCTTGCAGAACAATATATACATCATAGACAGTAACTGTAAAATTAAAACACATTTAAAAATGCATATACTCAATATAAAACATTTTTCCACTTAGCAGAAAAATTTTTTTCTGTGACTTGTCAGTAAAAAACGATTTATTTAAAAGAAACAACTATGGAGAATTTACGTAGTATTAAATATTAAAACAAACTATACTTATAATGCAGTTAACTGGCTCCAACAAATTCATTCACACAAAATTAGGCTATCATATTACTGAATTAAAATAGTAACTGGAGGGGTTGGAGCAATAGCACAGCGGGTAGGGCGTTTGCCTTGCACACAGTCGACCCAGGTTCAATTCCCAGCATCCCATTTGGTCCCCTGAGCACCGCCAGGGGTAATTCCTGAGTGCAGAGCCAGGAGTAATCCCTGTGCATTGCCAGGTGTGACCCAAAAAGCAAAAAAAAAAAAAAGTAACTGAAGCAGAATTTATTACATAGTTAAGTTATTATACAGTATTTATTACATAGTTACATTGCATGGTTAAGAGTTTGAGTTATAGAGTGATTTAACCAGCCAGCCCTACCTCAGCTGCAATTTATTATTCTCTGGCCTAAATATCAAAATGGATGGCTCTGGCTTTTATAACTGACTGGGAATTTCTAGATTGTAGCAGCAATTCCAGTCACCACCTGGTTAATTTTCTAATTATTTTTGTTTTGGACCATGACAGTGGTGCTTAGGGTACCATGTAGGACCCCAGATATCAAACTGGGTATACAAATGTGCCTTCACCCTTTGAGCTATTTTCCTGGCCCTATAAAGTATTAGTATTTAATTTTTGTTTATAGTTTAGGGATTCTTCATCTATGGCATGCCATATAAATAGGCATTCTGGGTCATACCCGGTGCTGCTTAGGGGTTGCTCTTGGCACTGCACTCAGGAAATAACTCCTGACGGTGCTTGGGGAACCATTTGGGATGCTGGGACCAGGTCGGCCACGTGGAAGGCAAATGCCCTACCAGCTGTACTATAAATATTAAGTTTTACAAGACTTTCATGTTAAAAGTTTTGTTACTAAAAAAGCACAATGTTAACTTACCAACAAAGCCCACCGTCAAAGCTTCCAACAGTGTCTAAAAAAAGGAAATTAAAGTTACTTAAGCACAATAAACTACATACTGTCTCATGTACATGATTTAATTATGAAGAATTCAATGTTGCTCCATAAACATAATTTTATTACAGATTCAGAATAGCCTTGTGAGGTATCTGGGACTCATACTGAGCCCTGTATAGGAAAAGTGAGACCTCTGTGTACTGATGTTATTCTAGTTTTGATTCCATCAATTAGATTTTTCACATCTATAACACAAAAAGCATGTAACATTCATAAATTTTTCTCATGTTGATGAAAACAGTAATTGCCAAATGCACATTTATTTTTTAAAAACCCTAATATATGAACATAGAAATAAAATATCTGATACTTTTGTATCTTAGTTATGCATCTGACTCCCAGTGTTCTCCTTTACTTGAGTGCCATATATTTTACCTGGACACATTCAAATTAGTTTTTGCTTCCTTGCTGCTTAATTGGATCACTGTTCCATGTATTTTAGATTGTATGTAAAGAGCCCTATAAAAGAAAGTTGCTCTCTCGATCACTCCTCTCCTCTTCTCTGCTTTTATTCACTCTGTAGATGAGTAGAATCTGGGTATGGTGGTAAGAATTCTTATACTGTGCAGTGTTTTCTGAATGCTCTACATCATAGCATGAGTCTGGGAATCTAACATTGTCATTAAACAGTCACTCAACGTTCACATGAAAGAGAAATCGTCTTGTTAAAATTACTGTGATTTTTGTCACTATCTAATCCATGTCACAAGTAGCTGAATATATATCCTACATACAAAATTTAGGGATACTGAGAATTGTCTTTCAGCTTCTCTTTCCCCTTTACTTTACTTTGCTTTATATATTAACTACAATTGGCTTTGATAGCTTTAGGGATACTGAGAATTATCTTTCAGCTTCTCTTTCCCCTTTATCTTTCCTTTGCTTTATATATTAACTACAATTGGCTTTGATAGGTGGTATCATAAACACAAAGTTAGAAGTTAACAGCAGTTAACTATATAATCATAGTCCTAAGAGAAACACTCCCTAAAATCCATTCTTACCTAAAATCACAAAATTATCAAAACCAAGGCAACAATGTATTAAAAATTATCCATAACAGCTGAGATAGTATAGCAGGCAAGGCATCTGCCTTCATTCAGATGACTTGGGTTTGATCACTGGCGCCTAATATGGTCCTCGAATCCCATCAAGAGTGATCCTCAAGTCCAGAGTAAGAAGTAAGCCCTTGGCAGCACCAGGTGTAGCCCAAAACAAACAAAAAAAAATTTATATCGATTTGGAAATGATGAAATTATTGCCATATTTTGTTATAAAGCTATTGGGAATGTCAGGGAAGTAGTAAAGAAATCTTACCCTGAAGTAAAGATAAAATTAGGAAAATGGTAATACCCCCAAAATTGCCCCTTTAAAAATATATAAACACATCTCCTAAGGCATAGTAAAATTTCCCCTTCTGTAGCTGGATGGAGTAGGAAAAAATAATTTTGTAATAAATGATCTCTTGAGGAATTTGAAGTGTATTTTACATGCTTCCTTGTTTGTTATATTTTTAGATATAGGTAAGGATCAATAGTTGTAATGCTAAGTAACCATCTTGCTACAGTGCTCTTCTAAGGGGTTCTCTTCCTTCGTGACCTAAAGTTGGTTCAAACTTTTTCAGTCACCAAAGTCAGTCCTTCCTTGTCTTTCGGAAAGGAAGAAAGAGTTGAAGAGTTGAAAAAGAACTCAACAAGACCCTGTTAATTTTCTTTTACTTCTGTTCTGCTATTGACATAGCTGTCAAGGCCAAATGTCGGCAGCTGACGCAAATTCTGTCACTTAGAAATTTAAATTCAGAGAATGAAGCAATGACGAAGTGTTAACAAGGTATAGGAGTGCCTTATGTATAAGGATAGCTGGGAGAGAGAGATGAGATGAAATTACAATAAGAGAGATGACAACCAACCCTTACTATTAGGTTTCTTAAATCAGCTTCATGTCTAGACCCTTCCTCTAGTTCCTTTTCTTCTTGAGTCTTGCTTTGTTGGGTCCCCAAAGTCTTACATCCTTAAAATAAACTCCTTCCTTCAGTAACTTGAGATAAGATGGGTTGGCATATTGATTGCTGGCAAACCAAAGAGCCTAAGATTAAATTAAATAACCTTTCTATAATTAAAACTTTCAAAATAAAGAAATTTTTAGCATATGAATATAAATTCATTATCAGATATTTCAAGCTTGCATTTTAATCTGATAAAAAGGACTTAACTACAGACATATTTAATATTTGGAATGTTGTAAGGTCCATTTTTGGTCAGTTCCCAAAGTCATACTGATGTGAGAAAAGGAAAATTAATTCTAAATATATAAGTCTTACCAAGTCATTCTGGTCATATTCTAAGACTGTGGTTTTGGTATTTTCAAAGAATGAGTAGTAATAAAATAATGAGCCAACAATTAAGATTTCATGAAGTTATAGTCAACCATATAATTTTTCCCAAGAAAATCACAAAATATTAGAGTTTTAAAGTATCATTGGCATACTGCCTTAATATTTTTAGTTTATGTGTATATGAAAATTCTATTAAATAATGTCTAACTACCCAGTCAAATACATCTTAAAAGATACTGGCAAAGTTAAGTCATGTGTATCTAATTCATTTTCTCCCCACTATGTAAAATTAGTGGACAGAAAATCTTTGAAACTAAAGAATTAGAAATTCTGAAAGATCAGAAAATTACTAATAATTTCCTAAACTATTTCCTAAAATATCCTAATCTTAAGCTAATGTTCTGCAATTAGGCATTCAAAAAAATAATAATAAAATTTGGGAATAAACATTAAGGAAGCAGACATTATCAAAGTACTCACAAATCCACAAAGCAGGTACAGGTTAAGGGGATGCTTATGTCTGTTTAAAGTCAATGCGAAAATCAAGCCCAGGGATCCAAAGGCAAACACCAATATTAAAGCAGGACTGAAAATAAAAAACATAAAAGCATTTTCAATTTAAATTATGCCACAGTGTTAAAGAAAATTTATTTTGTGTTTGTGTGGTCCTATTTTACACACCCTCCCACACACACCTCCTCAGCATCACTCGCCTAGCAGGTGGAGCTCTGCAATGTATGATCCCTATAAAAATATTAAAAAGAAAATCATTCATTTTCACATCTGAGAAAATCTAGTGACATATGGAAGAGCTGCAAAATGACAACCCACTCAACTGTTAAATGATAAATTTTATATCTAACAACTTTTTAGGGTACTTACTATATAGCTATAATTTATAGACCTTTACTCCAAATACCAAGAAGACTGGTGGGGTGGGGAGTACCAGTTCTCTATTTGTAAAGATTAGTTTTTTTCCTTTCCTTTAATATAAAAAATAAATTATATGTATACACACACTACTTTTTTTGCCAGTAAAACTATTGCTCCAAACTATTTGGAAGTCAGTTGGGGTGAATCTTATGCAGCTCTTTTGAAATTTTGGTAAAATTACCCTAGTCATGAAACAAAATAAGTTAAATATTTATTGAATACCTTAAAATTTTTTCTAGTATTGTTTTGTGTGTGGGGCAGGGGCACACTTAAGAGAACTGCTCAGGGGGTTACTTCTGGCTCGGCACTCAGGGACCACTCTTGGAAGTGCTGAGAGAACCATACGGGATGCTGAGCATCTAAGCCAAATCGGCCACAAGGCAGTCGCCATACCCTCTGTCTCTCTAGCACCCTGTTTGCACTCTAGAGACAGGCGTAAGTTTAAGGGAAAGTTAGAATTTTTTCTTTTTCCTTTGCTTAGGTTTGGGGTCATATCCACTTGGTGCTTCGGGCTGCTCCCCACTGGTCCAGAGAACCTGGGGCACCAAGCATGCATTCCAGCCCTTTCTGCTTTCTCCCAGCTCCCTACTTTTCTTACTGAAAGAAAGTAATCTTATTTGCAAGAGTTAATCAATGATAAAATTGTTAGTACTCTAGTGTCAAGAGATAATATGAAAACACAACTTTTTAATACATCTTTTTAGTAATGTGCAGTGGCTGAAAACAAATCATAATTATCTGATTACCTCTCCTGTATAAATGTATGCATAGAGTCAAAGTATAAAAATAATGCAGACGTTGCTGTAGTTAAAAGAAGTTGCAGAGAAAGGATGCTGTACACTTTTCTTATAAATGCTGAAAGAAAAAACAGGCATGACTTTTAGACATTTATCAAAGAATAAGAATTTTCTTAGCAACATTAGTTTTTATATGTATTCTTAAATTTTCATACAAATAATGTATCAATAACTTAGCAAAACACTTTCAAAGAAATTCAAAAATTCTAAGTGATAGGGACCAGGGAGGCAGAGTGGTTAGTGGGGGGGGGGGGGGGGGGAGGTGCAGTGTGTGTGGGAGACCCAAGACCTAAGTTGAGTCGGCAGTGCATGGGCCCCCAGCACCACTGTGCTCACCATGATGGCCTCCAGTACCACAGGGACCAAGCATCATGGCACTTCCAAGTGTGGTCTGGCCTGAAAAGTTGTTCTACAAAAGGGAATGCCCTGCCACAGAGGCAGAGTGGGATGGGGGAGATAAGGGGGGAAGGGATATTATCCATGGTGGTGGAAAATGGGCACTGGTGGAGGGATGGGTATTTGATCATTGTATAACCGAAACCCAAGCACAAAAATTTGTAAATCTACAACTGTACCTCATGGTGTTTCACTAATAAAAAAAAAAGTCCTTTAATAAAACCATCTTTTCTTTATAGAAATTATTTTTATCATGAAATACAAAAACAATAAACCTGCTTGTCTTTCATCCTCCAAAAAAAAAAAAAAGTTGTTCTAGAAGGCATGTGGTTGGATTAAAATTTTAAAGATTTCTAAATTTCCTTTCACACCAGAAAAGGTAAAATCAATTTTACTCACCTATCTATTTTTCAGTACTTCCACCATATATAAGGAATCCTTCCAAACTATTATCAACATGCTTAAATCAACTTGAAGGCCTAATGGTTTTAAAAAATATTTACATCTTCTGATAAACAAATGATATCATCAATGGACACCCACTACTACCAGATTCAGAAATTAAATAGTAACATTTCCATATGGTTAATATCCTTTTCTACTTGCTCCCATAGATATTAATCAGCTCTCAAGATTCAACCTTCCTCATTCTGAATTTAAAGTTTTTCATTTGCCTAAGGACTCTAGAAATGATATGATGATAATGATGATGATGATGATGATGATGATGATGATGATGGGAATTCCGGGGATTGGGACCACAACTGACTATGCTCAAAGCTTACTCCTGGGTCTAAAAAAAACTCCTGGGATTGCTCCTGGTGGAGTTTAGGGAACCATATGTGGTGCCAGGGATTGAAACTGGGCTGGCTGTGTACAAGGCAAGCACCCTACCACTGTACTATCTTTCCAGCCTCTAGACATAATCCTAACTGCCTTATTTTCTAACAAATCTGTTTGTCTATTTCCTTTAGACTTGAAAGACTAAAAGCTCCTAAAGGGCCAAGACGGCCAAATAGAGAACTTGTGTTTACCCCCTGTGATCACAACAAATCTGTATCAAAACTTAAATTAATCTACAAAGAAACTTAGCTGAAACCCTAATGAGCAAAGTTTCCACTGCAGGGAACAGGATAGCACCTAGACCAACTAGACACAAAAGAAACTCCCTCACCAAGAAAGAAACCCCACTGCCGAGTAACTCACTGCAATTTAGAAGGAATTTCTAAGGTGTAGAAGATTTCTCTGGGGAGCAAGTGGGGTGAAGAGGAGTCGCACCCAACACCCCAATCCTACGATCCTATACTTAAAAACACTGGCAAGAAACTATATGGTATTAACAGGTCAGGAAGAACTCAGGACCTTCCAAAACATAGCTAATGAATTAGTAAGGGAACCCCACTAACTGCTATGTTTCCTTGTCAGCCCAGAGGGCATATTACCACCTAGAACTTAAGCCTCTAACCCCATGCTGGGTGTCCAGTCACAGTGGCCTAGTGGTTGTCACGAACCAACAACTTTTAAATTCCTGGTACTGCCAAGGCCTGTTCAAACTATGTTACAGCTCAGACCAGATACTCAATGACCACAAATCCCAGGTTCCCTACCTACATGAACTTTGGAGTCAGTCAAAACTAGGCATCTATCTATAACTGTGGACTCCCTAGGCCCTGTGGAACACCAGACATAATGGGGCTGACACCCCTACTGAAGGATGAAGATACCAGCCTGGAAAGGATTAACACAATGACACTGGTGACAGAGGCCTTCAGCTGACTTACAGAATGTTTGGAAAAAGCATAATGAAGAAAGGATTCAGAGAGTAGAATTCAGAGAGTGAAATATAGAAGTATTAGAGGCCGCTGGAAGGATGAAGCCAAAATCAAACTAGTGAACTTGGAAAACAGAGTAGTATATGCCATCCCAAAAGCAAAAAGAAGAAAATGAGAAATGAAGAAAACATACTACATAGAACTCAAAAGGCACAACAGTTGCATCATTTCCAGGAAGAAATTAAAGAAATGTGCAGAAATCTTCCTTGAAATAAATATTGTCCAAGTCTTCCCCAAGCTGAAATAGTCATTGTTGCAACATAAATCCGTAAGTTCATGAGAAGTAAGAGGAATTTAAACTAAGTTTTTAGGACAGGTCTTGTCCCTAAGGGATACCCATGCATGCACATGCACACTATACTTTCTTTGTGACCTACTCAGATTTGGGTTGGTTTTGGGGTTTGTTTCCTTTTTTTATTGGTTTTGTTTTGGGGCCACATCCAGTGGTACTCAGGGCTTACTCCTGGATCTGTGCTCAGGGATCACTTGTGCCAAGGCATGAAAGACTATGTTGTGCTGGGGGGGGGGGGTGTGACCCAGGGTCAGCCACATCCAAGGCAAGCACTCTGTCCACTGTACTGTATCTCTGGCCTTTGAGGTCTAAAATATTACCTGATCATACTAGGTTGCTAATATAAGGTCCCAATACAGAGTTGTAAATGAGGGCAACTCCTCACTTCACTCACAAATATAAATGAAAACAGGGCAACATTTGTCACTGTCACAGTGTGGAGGTCACTCGTGTTATAGTGTCCAAGGGCTGCAAGCATGGTTGCAGCACATTTCAGGTGAGGGTGCATAAAAAAATAAATTATCCAAGAATTAAGAGGTGCAATCGCTTTGTAGAGTAGTTGATTATAATAATCAAATTTAAAATGCTACCAATATATACTATTTTTTAAAATTACTTTTCTGATGGCATCACCTTCCTACCATTTTATGAGTAACGTTTCAAAAGCTTCTAAGCTTTCTTTCCCTCCCCCATGCCTTTTATTTTGTGGTTGTTGCCACTGTTGCTATGTCCAGGGTTGAACATTTGGCTTTAGTGCTCACAGACTTGGTTGTGATCTGCCAGATATACAAGACTGGCACCTACCACCGAGTCATACCCCTGGTATCCTGGGCTATTGTTTTTTCAGTGTAAAATAGTAAATGAAAATTAAAAGTTACCCAAAAGTATGCATAAATAATCATACAGGTTATAAAGTTACAGTCTACAAAAAAAAAAGGTATGTTATTTCAAAATATACATAACACGCTGCTAAAACACTAGTTTAACAGACTTTCATATTCCATTCCAGTTTGTACCAACTGTAAATGTGGTCAAGATAAAGCAGATACTCCTTTACTCTCATTTACTTTTTCTGATTTATCATTTTCCATCAGTAAATAAGCTGTGAAATTTTAATGTATGATATTACAAAAATATTTCCCAGAAAATTAACATTCTGCAAGCAGCTTAATTTGCTTCTAACAAAAACTAGGGCATTTATGTTTTTTACCCTTTATTAAGGAACCAGTAACAGAACCACTTTTAATAAACCAATGTATATACCAGACCAATTTTCATCCTTTTCTCCCCTCTGGTATCTATATACCTGCCAGGAGTTTTTATCCACTCCCAGGATTTGCAGTATCACTTCTAAATTCTTCTATCACATCCCACTATTACTATCCACTTAGCAGTTGAAACCTAAGGGGACCTTAAACACCGGGTATAAGCTGATTTGGGGGTTTTAAATACACAAGCATACAAGCTGAGTTTTCACACTATCTTCCTCATCTTCAAGATAATTAAGGAAGTAATACTTCCGAATCCATTCTGTGAACCAACACTACCAAAGCTTCAATCATCAAGAAAACTATAGGACAATAAAATGGATACTGATAACAAAAATCCTCAACAAAATTCTACAAATCAGAATTTAACATAAGATTAAAAGGACTATACACCATGATCAAGTTATATGATAATATAATATTATCATATCATATTATTTTATGATAAAGAGAAAAATGATAATCACAACTGATGCAGAAAGCACTTGTCAGAATTCAACAACCATTCATGATTAAAAACAATAAAACACTCAATAAAAAATAGGAGGAAACTATCTCAATATAATCAATGCCAATTAAAGCATGCCTAAAGGTGAAATCATATTCAACAGTGAAAAACTGAAAGCTTTTCCTCTAAGGAACACACAAAGATGCCTGATTTTGCTACTTCTGTTAAGCATAGTATTGAAAGTTCTAGTGAGCACAATTAAACAAGAAATAAGACATCCTAATTGTAAAGAAGTAAAATCATCTGTGACAGAGATGATCTTACAAGCAGCAAATCCTGAAGGTTATAAAAAAGTGTTAGAACTTCGCAGTCAATGAATTTCGCAGTCTTAGGGTGAAAAATAAACATGGAAAAACCAATCATTTTTATACATTAATAATGAGCAAGTAAAAGGGAAAAAGATTAAAAATCAATTCCATTTACAATAGTGTGAAAAAGAATGAAATACTTGAAAATATAACTAATAAAGAAGGCAAAACTCTTGCACATTGAGCACTACAAAATATTAAAAGCACTGTCTTCCCGTTGTTAATCGATTTGCTTGAGCAGGCCCAGTAACGTCTCCATTGTGACACTTGTTACTGTGTTTGGCATATCGAATACGCCACGGGTAGCTTGCCAGGCTTTGCCGTGAGGGCGAGATACTCTCGGTAGCTTGCCAGGCTCTCTGAGAGGGGTGGAGGAATCGAACCCGGCTCGGCCGGCCGTGCGCAAGGCAAACCTCTGTGCTATCGCTCCAGCCCTAAAAAAAAAAAATTACTA